TCTTCTTATGGCCTCTGACAGTGGACTCATCTCTGTGCTTGTCCTGCTAGACCTCAGTGCAGCGTTGATACTGTTGACCATAATATTCTATTAAAACAATTAAAGCATTACAGGTACTGCCTTGCAATGGTTTATATCACATTTATCTAATAGACTCAAATTTGCTCATGTAAAAGCAGAGTCCTCTTCACACAGTTCAACAGGGTTCAGTGCTATAGGACCAATTCTGTTTACATTACACATGCTTCCCTTAGGCAGTGTTGTAACATCGTAGACTAATGTGCCTGTATTAATTCATCTCCATATTATTGTGTGACGTTGCACTGGGTTTGGAGTGGTTGTATGTGTGTCACGTTTCTGCTGAGCCATTGGCTGTAATAGGGTTGGACTAATTAGAGGCAGGTGTAACTGTTGTATTGTATACCTCAGCCTAAAGGCAGCTGAGTTGCAGAGGCTGGAGTGACCACTGGCTATCTACTTACAGGGCAGTGGGTCTCAGAGGACAACCGATAACCCTGTTGAAGTCAATGTGTGGAGTGCAACTGGCTTTGGGGCATAACTGGCTCTGGCCTTGGACTGTGTGATTTTACTTGATCCGCAAATGGGACACTGGACTGTTTAATCTTTTACCTCTTTGATTACTGTGTTAATAAATTACCTTTTATGGACTGTCATCTTTTTGCCCACGGCTGAGACGGTTGGTCAGACCTAGAATCTTTAAGTGTGTGTTACATATACATCGGGAAAATGCTTTGTTTTATTTTTCTTCCTCGCCCTTCTAGATCTTTTTGCAACTAGTTGCTCCCTTCTCCTTCCTTCCTGTCTTCTTTCAGCTGCCCCTTCAGGTGTCTGCCCAGTACATAATCTGCTTCTTTGTCTCCAACTGCTAAACCTCAGCTGTCCCTCAGATATACTCATTTCCAATCCTGTCCAAACTGGCCACACTCACGGAAAATCTTATTTCTGCCAGCTCCAGATTGGCTTCCTGCCTTTTTGTCAGTGATACTGTCCAAACCATATATCATGTTATTAACATTTTTTTTTTGAAATTGCTATTCCTTGTTGTCCATTCCTGCCACTCACCACCCGGCCTCCATTTTCTTCTTCACCTCTCTTGTGCTTTGAGTGGTTAACCCTGGATATTTAAACTAATACTACCTCTGCTCCATCCATCTTCATCCTTCAAAATATAGTTAACGCAGCTTAAGTAAAACTATTATGCAGAATCATATCATTGTGTTCCCGGATCACAATTATAGATTCATTAACATGTAAACCACTTTGTTGCTGCACCTGCAGTTAACTTTAATTGCATATGTGCATCTACAACCCCATTTCCAAAACATTTGATACACTGTGTAAAATGTAAATAAATAATGCAATGATTTCATAACATTTTATTTTACAAACATTTCTTGCCAACAATAACAAGAAAAAAAATTTTATTAAAAAAGACTTTGAAGCAGAGGTAAATGGGAGTAGACATAGCTGTACCCTATAAAGTGGTCAGTGAGTATATAAAAGCTTCCTATAGACATCTCCTACTCAACATCTCCTTACAAATAAGAGTGCTGTGAGAGGGACCCGCCCCCAAGTCCCAGGCTTTTTCACTGCTGATGCCTTCATGGTCTGCTTGAAAACTTTGTCATTTGTAAACACTGAAACATATGCGAATGATACATTCACAAAGAATAATGAATCTGTACGAATGTAGCTTCTCTGGTAAAAAAAAATAAAATAAAAAAAATAAGCAATGAAATGTTCAGAATCATCAGAATCAGAATACTTTATTGATCCCTGGGGGAAATTATTTTTTGTTACAGTGCTCCATTTTAAACCAACATTAAGACAAGACAGACAATACACTAACTAAGAATAGTATAATATATACATATATATACATACATAAGTCACTCATAAATAAATTGCACTTGTGATTTACTTGTAACCCACTGCTGGATGTGTTCTTAAGAAAATGGACAGATCTGGGTCACAAGTTCCACTTTCTGTGTCCTTAAAGACAACTTCATAGAAGCTCCACAAGGCGTCAGTGGTGTAGGTTTCAGAAATGATCAGTAGCTGACTTGCCGCTCCAAACAAACACCCCACCAGCTGATTTCTATTTTTCTCTTTTCCCTCCTCTGTAGTTGAGCGTTATTGTTC